GTTTTTCTAAATTTGAATATCTATAGAATTATATGTGATGAAAAAAACAGATTTGAGAAAGTACAATTATTCTATACGGAAAGACTTGTAACGTTAAGATTTTTGTTGTCGACTGTCTTCTGCGGTCGATTTGTCGTCTGTCTGTCTGTCTGTCTGTCGTGTAATGCCTGTCGTCTGTCTGTCTATATACCTGTTGTGTGTTGTGAATATCCAAAAAATCCTATAGTTAGTGTGTCTAACATTATTTCTGCACAATATAAAGGACAGTACCCCTAGCACGAACCAATATCGAAATCGTATCGTTTGCGAGTCCGAAATGTCATTGTCAAATGTAAATTGTTTTTTAGTTCTCGTTACGCACTTTGTGCCCCTGCTGTTCGAGTTTCCATACAAAATTTGATAATGACATTTCGATTTGCAAACTATTCGAATTCGATAATGGCGAAATCGTGCTAAGGGTACTGTTTAAATCTCATTAATCTAGGTCCAGCGGTTTCGGCTTTGCCGTTATGAGTCAACCAGCCTTTTATCAATATGTCCATTTCTCTCTTTACATAACAGAAGAAGTTTAAGAAATAATGACTCGACCCGACTACGTATTTGAGTATTGTATTAAGTAGACATCAAAATAAAAAAAAAACAAAAAATCAAAAAAGTTTATTACGATACCACATTTGTTGTACACCAAACCAAGGTGGGTTCCTTCCATAGATATCCGTTGTTCCTTCTCTTCATTACCAGAAATAATAGGTATATACGTAGGTACGATCTGGTAAAAATGTTTTCGAAATCGGTCAAGTGGTTGAAAAATAGAAATTTACCCCTGGAGATCCCGTGTCCGTGGAAGTGACAGAACACAAGTCATACTAATTCTTCTACAATTTCAAACATCGCAGATTTCGTTTTGAAAATCAGTTAAGTGATTTAAGAAACAAGATTTAACAGCCGCTGTCTCATTCCCGTAGAATTGTTGGGAAAAATATTGTTTTGACGTGACAACGTCTTAAATTAGGTTGCGGCTGGGAGTCACTTATGAAAAAGTGTAACGCTCGGTAACGTTACGATGAGTTTAAGTTTACATGTACAATGTTTTAGTAAACAAAATATATTTCTATAGTTAAAATTTGTGCAATTCTTATTTACATTCAATTCCTTGTTCCTATTGTGCAATTTAATTATATTCATATCAATAAATATTCTACCGAGAAAAAGACGTTGTCACGTAAAATCTTCGCCCGTAAAACCGACTTTACAGGCAACCATTTTTTTTTTATTGTAATCTTTTACAATACTGTTCAGTTAGACCATGCAAGTCATTTATTGCTTCAATAATCAATTTAATTGTATGCAACAGGCAAGTTTGCATCGTGTAAATGGCGCTTTACTCTAGTGCAGAGGTTCCCATACTTTTTTATGTCGTAGAGTGTTTTATCATTATATGCAGGTTTATACAACTTCAAAATGTATTGCGATCACAAAGCGAATATCTTACAACTTACAAAATTTTATAAACATAATATATATAATATTATTTATTATTTCATAGGTACTTTTATAAATAATGTATATGTCTTTTTAATAGAAGATAGCATAATGTTAGTAAATAAGTGCTAACTCCCATATTTTTTTTTCGCTGCCGTAGACCCCTTGCAGGTCGTCATAGACCCCTAGGGGCCGATATAAACCACTTTGGGAATCATTGCTCTAGTGTCTAGTATCATATAACACAAGCCTACAGTGCTTATTTTGAGGTTAGGCTGATGGGTGTGAGTGTTGGCAATATTTTATTTATTTATTTTATTTATAACTTTATTTTTGTTTCAAAATTATCTTGAATGGCAACACTACGGGCATAATAGTAGCTATAATCTACCTACACATGTTTAAATATATTAATAAAACTTATAATTTTTTCAGAACATCGTATTTTCAGCATAATTCCATTTCATTCACGAACTTGGTTAATAAATAAATAATTTATTAACAACCAAGTTCGTGATGGAATGGAATATCTTGCCGATATTAAATTTTTGCGGTACCTACTTCGGTGCGAAATGCTTAAACGATGCGAGATTGGGCCGTGGGGCAAACGCCGCGCGCCTGTGCCACAACGAGAGCAACTGGTAAGTACATTTTTATTAACAAGCTTTTATTAGTTTCACCTGTATGTTTATTTGTATGTATGTAAATGACTCATTTACTTTAAACTTTGCAAATATTTGATACAATATTATAGTACCAGCTGGTCTGATGATGGAACTTGAACTTGGCTGTTGGCTGATGGAATCTTGGATTGCCTACTAGTAAACATATCGAGTTTGGGCTCATTAGATTCGTCTTCTTTCTTTTTTTTTAAGAAACACTATTTATTATTACAATATTTCCTAAAATACTATATTAATTAAACTCACAAAATAGATTAATACTACTAAATAAACTAAATACTCATACCAAACTAAAAATAAAAATAAAACTATATTATTAAAAAAATCGACCCCAAATCATCATAACACATTCTGTTAATGTATTTTTTTCTCATTTTTATTACAAAGAGGATGGTTTCTTTTCCTTTTCTCGTGTTATAATGTACAATAAAGAAAGAAAGAAAGAAAGAAAAACATTTTATTGGCCTCCACAGCATTAATTTAGAATAACAAACTGGTTATATAATAGTAAAACATAGGCATAATATAAAAAAAAACATGTAAACTAATTACTAGGTTCATGCCGTGTAAGGCCAATAGGATAGGCCTCAGCTATGCTCTGTGGTAAACGCTTTTGCGATACCACAGCAGCGGTGATTTTCATCCAGCGTCATATGGCAAAGGTGATCTGCGAATGCCAGAATAAAGCGAAACAATATCAACAAAGAACACAATTATACATTATCGGTATACATTTCTAATCAGTAACTAAACAGCCACCAGTACTCGCTACCCGTAAACCCAACAACTGTCCCATTAAGTTTGTATAACTCAAGTGGCAGTGGGCTGGTCATGTTACCAGACGGAAACCGCCGTGAAAAGAACGATTTAAATCTTTGCCGCCGTGGTATAAAATGGAGACCGTGGGGTAAGAAAAGCCTCCATGTGATATCAAATAAGTATGCGTTGGTACGACGATATCAAAAGAACAGCCTGAGTGATATGGATAGACAAAGCCCAAAACCGAAAACAATGACATTAAACGGAAAAGACTACACCCAAGTGGTAGAAAAAAGCTTGCAGAAGCAGTTTTTAAGTATATCTATAAAAAAAACGAGTGTGCTTATGACCACACGCCTGAACATGTACATGTATGTACATATTTCATTTACTAGCTATAAGAGAAAGAGAGAAAGAAAATGTGCGCACACTGCTTTCTCTTGCTTATATCCCCCACTCAACTCCCGTAACACGTAACACGTTCGCCGGCTTACCCCCCAAGTCAAGCGTGCGCAAAGAAGTTTCACTTCAAAAATACAAATCTCCTAGATATCAGACTCGATTCAAACCAGCGCGGAATATTTAGATTTTTTTTGTACTTATTCAGACTGCAAAGTACTTCTTCACATTTTTAACAGGCAACTTCAGTGTCAATAAGTTAGTTACATTTAAGTATCAAATATTCAAAAGCAGAACAAGTTTATAACTGCTGTACCAGCTATCTTCGTGTCTGAACTCTATCACCACTTAAGGATATACTGTACTTCCAGGGCCCAAAAGTAAAAACTTCACAGTTTTGTTGGTTGTAATTTCGCATTTTTGTTGTTAAAAAGGTTTCTGTTAACCACATTATTTGAAAAAAATGTCACACTTATGCACTGGTAGTTTTTTAGAAAAAAATATTGAAAATTTTTACTTTTCTTACCAAGTGGTGATACTTCACACTAGGTTAGGTTAGGTTAGTGTTGTGACCACAACGCGCGAGCTGAGCGAGCAAAGCGAGCGCGCCGCGGCAGCGGCCGGCGAAGCGCCAGAAAAAAAATCTGTTAAAACGACCTTTTCTACAAAAAAAACAAGTATCACCTTTTGGGCCCTGGAAGTACAGTTTTACCCCACTTAACATCAGGTGGGGTAGAGTCATTTGCCTACCTAGCTATAAAAAAAGCACTTCTTATTGTTTCACACTTACTGTATCCCTGGAGCTTTGCCTGTAGACTCATCCCACCCATACCTTCACACTGCGGACCTGTTGAAAACTTTGGGGGTCCACTCTGAAAGTAAACGAAGGTGTGAAGATTTAATTTTTCTTTAAACACGTTAAATTGTAAACGTGATGTTTCACTGACAACCAGTGAAAAGTATAGTCAAAAAGATGACATGAGATATTTAAAGACGTTTTGTTGGCGGTTTTTTGTCGAGATTTCATTGGGTGTGGTTGGCGTCATATTTTAATTATTCTTCAAAATCATTCATAGTGGATATTGTGAAATCAAATTGGTGTGATTTTGTGCTACAATCGTCTGCGTAACTGAAGAATTAACGGAATCTTTGAAATATTCGCTATACTGGTCAAGTGGATGTGAGAACTTTATTGTAGTGTTGACTACCTCGCAGAAGCTTGTCGAAAAAGCTGACTCGATATATTTTGTGCCAAACACTCCATGAAACATTAGAATGCGTCACACCCACATTCTAATGTAAAAAAATGGTTGCCTGTAAAGTCGGTTTTACGGGCGAAGATTTTACGTGACAACGTCTTTTTCTCGGTAGAATATTTATTGATATGAATATAATTAAATTGCACAATAGGAACAAGGAATTGAATGAAAATAAGAATTGCACAAATTTTAACTATAGAAATATATTTTGTTTACTAAAACATTGTACATGTAAACTTAAACTTAACACGAGAGACTCATCGTAACGTTACCGAGCGTTACACTTTTTCATAAGTGACTCCCAGCCGCAACCTAATTTAAGACGTTGTCACGTCAAAAAGGAAGATTAAATTAAAAATAAGACGATGGCTGCATGGCTTTGCCTTTGGCTTTCCCAATAGCGAAGAAAGGAATTAAAAATATGTTTAGTTTATAAAGAGATTAAAACATAAATAGAATAAAGAGTTAATATACAACATGCACGTATTTCCAAAAGCAGAAATTCTTGTTATCAAAACCACAAGAGTAACATTCCTGAAGTTTAAAATTTCGATAACGTATCTTCACAATTGCCCCCCAGAGCATGCGTATTAGACTTCCTCTGACTTTGCTCTCGGTGTGCCCCAGACTTGTCTATCCCTCAGGCAGTCATCTCCAGACACTCTGCAGTTTCCCATCAGAGCCAGGGACTTCTGATAGCTCTTGTAAGTGTATTATAATGCAAGTTTACTAATCGCTAATGTGTTACGTGTTTTTAAATGGATTAATTGAAAAAAGTTGGAAACATAAATTAGTCTTTGTAACTTTTGCTTTTTTTACTTTTCGTTTTTTTTATTGTTATACTTCGACGACCTCCGTGGCTGAGTAGTTTGTACGCCGGGTTTCATGGTGTCGTCGCCGACTCGAGAGGTCCCGGGTTCGAATCCCGGTGGGGGCAGATGTTTGTGTGATGAACACGAGCATTTGTACTCCAGTCATGGATGTTTAATATGTATTTCTATATAAATATACTTATATATGTACAGTATATGTATTCTATCCGTTACCCTAGTATCCCATAACACAAGCCTTATCGTGTTTACTTTGGAGCTAGGCTAATTGGTGTGTGTTGGAAATATTTATTTGATTTATTAATTATTTATACTAGCTGTGCCCCGCGATGTTACCAGCGGTTTATTGGTATAAGATATTTTTCCGCAGTAAAACTTAGCTGTGTTAAGGCTAGGGTGTCAGCTAACTCCATACCAAATTTTATTAAAATCGCTCTTGCCGTTTGGACGTTAAGAAGTTACAAACATACACACTCACAAACTTTCGCTTTTATAATATTAATGTGATTTCATGCGGGTGTTACAATTTGAGTCGAAAACTGGATCCACAATTCTACCAATCCTCAGATCTTTTACTAGCTTCCGCCCCCCACTTCACCCGTGTCAAGTTTACTTTCTCGCAGCTTTCGTATTTTTTTTTTGTAAGAACCTTCAACTTTAATTTTTTTTTACGGAATACGGGGTACACACGGGGTGAGGAGCTCGATGGCGCAAATGGTTAGCGCGATCGTTGAACTTAAGCATTTTTCGCAGTGGTCGGTCATTGGATAGGTGACCAAAAATTACTACCTCGAGCTCCTCCGTGCTTCGGAAGGCACGTTAAGCCGTTGGTCCCGGCTGCACATGCAGTCGTTAGCACCCACCAATCAGCACTGGGCCCGCGTGGTGGGTCATGGCCCAATCTCCCTATTCCATCCAAAGGGAAGGCCTGCGCCCCAACAGTAAGGACATTAATAGATGATGATGATGATGACGGGGTACATGATAACAATCCCGTAAATAACATACATTTCTATAATTTTAGTGACCACGAAAGTTTAAAACAATAAACCTTCTACAAATAATTACAAAACTTTAAAAAAAACAGATTAATGAAATCGGTAAAATCGTTATCAAGTTAAGAGTTTAGAAGAATAGTGTTCTACAGTAAAGTTGCAATTCCTATTAAAGTGCTCGCCTGGGAAGACCACCACCCACCTTAACAAGACCAGTCGGCGTATTGCAAAATTTGTTGACATTTACATTATATTATTATCTTCATCATCAGCCTATTAATGTGGCACAGGCCTTCCCTATAGATGGAATAGGGAGATTGGGCCATGACCCACCACGCGAGCCCAGTGCGGATTGGCGGGTGCTAACGGCTGCAGATGCAGCCGGTTTAACGTGCCTTCCGTGGAACTCGAGATAGAAGATTTTTGGTCACCCATCCAATGACCGACCACTGCGAAAGTTGCTTAACTTCAACGATCGCAGTCGAACGCGCTAACCACTTGCGTCATCGAGTTCCTCCTTTTGTCTAGTTTAAAAACTTCTTAATATTACAATATCAAGTAAGCTGCCTGTCTCCACAATACAGGAGGATGGTATTCGTGCGCCCTTCCGATGTGCCTTTCCCACAAGTCTGGTGGAGGTTCACCGTGGTAAGGAATGGTGTCAGCATCCCACTCCGAGTCCAGGACATCACTGAGGACCAGGTGGAACCAGCCATCCAGATGCTCATGGAGAATTTCACTAGGGACGAGCCGCCTTGCAAGTACATTGGTGAGCGTTTCTTTCTTATTTTTTGAAGGTGATACTTTAAGTAATTTTCTCTCTCTCAAAATAATTGCTGGTCGTTTTCTGTTACGTCATGTATGGGTGTGACGCCTTGGCAAATATTTGTAGTACACAGCAGCTCTGCAGACCGTACAAAAGTTTCTTAATTCTGCAGTCGGTTTTCATCTTTGGTGGTTAAGCTCAAAAGTTCAAATTCCATATCAGAGTTTGATAATCTTTGATAGACTAAGTTGCTGTTGCCCATATGTAGATTATATACTACGAAACAAACAGCTCGATCAGTGGATATTGATCAATTAATGCTCCTTGGGTCAGATATTTAGAACTGCCAGATTCAGTGGGTCACCGCAATCAGCATTAGGCCTTCAGAATGATTTGTTAAATCGTTATTGATGTTCAAAATATTATGTTACACTCGATCAAACTGTTTCATAATGAATATTTTTTGACTTGGAAACAAACATACGTATAATATTAGCAGAGGCGGCCTTACCGATTGCGAGGCCCTTTGTCCTTCGTGAAAAGTAGGTCTGGTTAGTGATGCGAAAGTAGGTCTGGTTGTTTGGTTTAGGTATTTGTCATGTTTAAGGAAAAATGCTTGAATTATACAAATAAATCAAATTTGAATTTTAAAATATTTTACATTGAAAGATTCACAAAATTAACAAATACAGAGATGATAAATTTTAAAATTGATGTTTGCGGCTTTTCCTAAGACTAAAATCTTTAATTAAAGCACAATAATCTAACGAATAAGCTACGTCATTTTCGATTGAAAGAATAGCGAGGGCTGAAAGCCGATCTTGTGTCATTGAAAAAATAGTATTTTTTTTTATATTTTTAAAATTTGCTTGGGTTGTTGCGCGAGGCCCCTGTAGGAGCGAGGCCCCGGGCGATTGCCCTGTTCACCACCCCCTAAGACCGCCACTGAATATTATTAACTATGTACTACTACTATTAGAAGACGAAGACATTTTTTAAGGAATAAATCACTATAAGGAAAAGAATAAGGGAGCCGAAGCGGGGATTTTTGGATTCTCTTTCCTTTATTTCTATCTATAATCCCTTTCCTTTATTTATTTCTTTATTTTTATAAATTTTATTATTTTTAAAGCATGTAACTGCTTGATGTTTAAATCTAAAGAAAATATAACTAGAAAAAATTCCTCGCGGACTTGTAAAAGTATTCATTTGACATTGTGGGTTACCTATAATGCAAAAAGATGGCGCTGCCTTGCAGCTTAAGAATGGCTAGAAGAATTTCGACGCGGTCCGTGAGGGCCGCGGTAGCATAATTGGTCAGTGCATTCGCCCGGATTGCGAAGGGTGCGGGTTCGAGTCCCGTCTGCTGCCTGGTCCGCGAGGAATTTTTTCTAGTTATATTTTCTTGTTTATTTTTTTTAATATAATATGCATCTATATCTATTTTACACCCTTCCCCCTTTTTTTTTGTTCTTATATACTTATTTAATTTTCCGTCATGGGTTGCCGGGAAGAGATTGCTTTTAAGGAATAAGGCCGCCCATTGTGTAATGTATCTCTGTCTGTGTAATCTTACTGTGATGTCCTTTGTGGTATTATACAATAAATATTATTATTTAAAAGCGGAGCTAAGAAAAATTATTGTTTTTCCGAAAAAAAAAACTAAACTGCTCATCACTATGGCATGGCCGATTATGTTAAGGGTACGTTTCTTTTGTATTAAACTTTGATTTAAATGTAAACTTTGATTTTACGCGCGTATTTATAAACCTTAAAAGTTACAATTCAGGAACTCACTCAACAGTAGCGCCATCTGGTGAGACAGATAGGTAGATTTGCACTAGTATATATTGCATTTTACGGGTGATGTTTCGAGTGTTATACAACAATTATTAATGAACTAATTATAAAAATATATAAATATTTCAGTAGTTCAATGATGGTAGATTAGTTTTATGAAAGTTTTTGATAGTAATTCTATTTTATTCAAAATCAAAATACGAGGTAAACCTGCATTATTTTTTGGGAAAACTAACGGCGGTTAGATGTTTTTTTTAATAATTAATGAGATAGAAAATCAAAATTCTAATACATAATGTTACAACAAAAACACATTTCTGACGTCGTTGTAATTAATTTGATCTAATTTATTGAACATTATTGAGAGATTGAGGCGTTTGAAGTTGTGCATATTATCGTTTTTTCCGTAAACTAGCTGCAGTAGAACGATCATCATATAATAGGAAGAATACATCTACTGTTTACTTCTATTGGAAATAGTCAAAATCTTTTCTAAGAGGGTAAACGAGGCGCTCAAAAATTACGATTTTTTGCAAAAAATGTGAAAGGGCTCTTAATATATTGGTCGTGTTCTTTCCAGAAATCAACAAGCATCCTACAGCCGTAGCTGAGCTCGTGAAACTCTGGAGTGATACCATTAAACACAAAATGTCCGTAGTTTGCGTTGAAGACAAAGAGGATCACCCTCAGATGGTAGGCGTCAATGTGCTCACTGTGATCTGCAAGGAGGATAAAGAAGAACCGTTTCATGTAAGGGAATTTATTTCTAGTCGCATTATCCTAGAGAAGCGATCTTCGTCATAGATCGTCTGATAAGGTAGCTTTGGCAGGATTCTGGACTCCTGTAGGACGATTCTGTAAACTAGAATCTCACTTAGTAGTCCAGTTCCCGAGGCGTTAAATTCATGAAAACCTCGGATTTCAGTACAGTGAATGAAATTAAAAAATTCAAAATGGCGTGTTCAGCTAGATACATATAAAAAAGTTTACCTATTAAAAAATTGTGATCTTAACTTTTTTTTTTCAAATTTGAAAAAAAAACATTTAAATAGCAATAATAATTGCTTTATCTATTTATTTATTTTTAAACTTTATTGACCAAAATATATAACATTGGTGCAAAAGGCGGACTTAATGCTAAAAGCATTCTCTCCTAGTCAACATTTGGGAAAAATGAAAAACACGAAGTTTATTATATTATTTTAAGTAGAATTATATACCTACTCATATGCTCGAATATTAATTGATTTAATTTTTTGGTCTAAAAAAAATTAAAAGCACAATTTTTTTTAAATAAACTTGGTAATTTATAGTGTAAATAACAACATTCTATTTCAATCATAATAAAATATTCACTGTTACAAAAATCCGATGTATAAACCCCCTGGCACTCCACTATAGGTTTTCACGCACACCACTCATTAAATAAAACAAGGTTCAACGGTAAAGATGCACTGAGTTATTTATTTACTAGTGGCCCGCCCTCGCTTCGCTTCGGTGTAGAGCTGTAGTGTAAACTATAGTTTTTGTTCTCAGGCTTGTGATATAAAGAATGACTTTATTTATATAATTACACGTGTCATTGTGAGTCAACCATAAAAGATAGACATATGCTGTTGCGGGATATTTTTAAACAATTTTATGTAGAATATTTTCGTCATACATGATTTCTATGTAACGTTAACCAATAAGGCTGCACCCGCGACGGAAGCTTAAAAAATGGAGTAACTTCTCCCGTTTTCCCAACATTTCCCTTCACTACTCTGCTGCTATTGTAGCGTGATGAAAAGTATACTATAACCTGCCCAGGAGTATGAAGAATAATTGTACCAAGTTTCGTTAAAATCCGTCGGGTAGTTTTTGTTTCTATAAGGAACATACACACAGACAGACAGACAGATAAAAAATTTACTGATTTCATTTTTGGCATCAGTATCGATCACTAATGACCCCCTGATAGTTATTTTAAAAATATATTTAATGTACAGAATTGACATCTCTACAGATTTATTATAAGTAATAGATTGACTTTTGGCTAGGGTTGCAACGATATATCGGAATATCGATAATATCGATAATATCGAGACCTAGATATCGATATTTATATCGATATTTAAAATTCACTGATATCGATATTATCGATATCGGAAATTCCAAAATATCGATATTTCGTAGACTAAATTTAAACACAATAATATCAATTAATTTACCTGCTATGACTATCTAAATTGAATAATATCGAAATAACTATTGCTTTGAAATCGCAAGAGCTTATAGATGTATTAAAAAAATCTTGAACCCCAAGAAATATACCAAACTGGTGTGGATTCTGGCATGATTCTCTCAACCTAAAATTAAATTTGACAACAGTGTATCCTTGTCATTCTCTATACAGAATGACAAGGAGAGACTGATGTTAAATTTAGTTTTAAGTTTAGATAATCATGCCAGAATCGACACCAACGTATATAGGTATAATCGTATACCTAATGGTTAAATAAAATCCTTGCCTCTCTTTCTAGATAATTGTCAACTACTGATTAATTGAAATTAAATATCATTGTAATATAACACAAAATAAAATTAAGAATCTTATACAAATCGTAAATTTTTAAGCTCGCCAAGTCAAGAAAGTAAGATAGGTATAGTAATTTTTGAAGCTTTGGGCTTACCCTATTCTGAAGCCATGGGCACGCCCCTGATGTGTGGGAGACTAAGCAATTTGCGTATTTGATGTGCGCTAAAAAACCGACATAGCTTGGAAAAGAACGAATGTAGTGAAAACTTAGTGAAGGCATTCGCAAATGTCGTCCCACATATGCGGGTTGGCGCATTCGTGCTAACAAATGTGAGTGATCTGATCAGGATAATAATTTTAATTTTTTGGTTTCCCGTCGTGGCTGAAACATAAACAGTGCGAGCCAAAAAAATCCTGCTTGGCGCGATTTCACCAAGCGTGTTTAAAGAAAAAGCTGGCTCAATGCATTTTGCGAGAAACTCGCCAACAAACATATGAATGTGTCACACTCAGCCCGTATTGTATGTCAATAAAAAAAAAGAAAAAAATATCGATATATCGATAATATCGAGTTAAAATGGTCGATATATCGGATATCGATATTTTCCTGACTTCGATATAAATATCGATATAATATCGATATTTCAAAAGACTTTGCATCCCTACTTTTGGCATCCTTTTCAGGATGCGTCATCTGAATTATGATTTATTTACTTTGTCGAGGTACCTTTGAAAGACTTCTATTGTCCTACCTATATAAAGCTAATAAATAAATAAATCAGTGCATCGGTGCGTCGGTCATTGGATGGGTGACCAAACATTTACTATCTCGAGCCCCTCCGTGCTTCGGAAGGCACGTTAAGCCGTTGGTCCCGGCTGCATCTGCAGTCGTCAGCACCCACCAATCCGCACTGGGCCCGCGTGGTGGGTCATGGCCCAATCTCCCTATTCCATCCATAGGGAAGGCCTGTGAAAAAATAACATACATATTACTCTGATTTAGATACCGTTCTTGCTGTTATTCTTTTATTCCCCCTGTCACAAAAAATGAATAAAACATAATTTATCTTCGGAACAAGTCGGCCAAAAGTGCCCGAAAGGGATGTCTATTCGATAAATATGCTAATAACCACATTAATATTATAAAGGCGAAAGTTTGAGTGTGCGAGTGTGTATGTTTGTTACTTCTTCACGTCTAAGCGGCTGGAGTGATTATAATAAAATTTGGTATGGAGTTAGCTGACAGCCTGCATTAACACAGAGGCTACGTTTTACTGCGGTGTAAAAACCCTAATAAACCGCAGGTAACACCACGGGGCACAGCTAGTAAAGTATAATTATAAGTTTACCTATTCCTTGTAAAAAAAAGGTATAAAAAAAAACCTTTTTAAAAACAAGCTTTTATTCAAATGCGCTAAAAAGAAAAAAAATTATCCGCCATTTTGGGTGTTCCGCCATCTTGGATTTAGAATGACGTCACACAATTAACTATGCATTGTCAAACAAATTGAACGCGTTTAAAAAATTTCAACTAAATTAGTTAAAGATATCTGTTTCTAAATAGATTTTCAAATTTTAGAAGTATTGGATTGAGAGTGACGTCACATTTTCTTCGAGTTACTCTCAGCAAGCCCTTTAATTTGATACCCATATTGTCCGCCATTTTGGGTATGCCGCCATATTGGATTCAGAATGACGTCACACTGTTAATCATGCATTGTCATCCGAACTGAACGAGCATACCAAATTTCAGCTTAATCGGTTGAGGGCAAGTGCTTTAAAATTGAGTTGTAAGATTTGACCGTAACAAACATACATAGCAAGTTAAATAAAAGCTTGTAAAAATAAATTGCGCCAAGGGTACCAACTGAATAATCCCAATCTCAAGATTCGTCCATTCCACAGACGGAAGACCCCGTCTGGGCCCAGTTATTCGGCGCTGTAGAATTGGTGTCCAACAGCGTAGATGTGTTCTCCCACTACGGGGTGGACAAGTACCTCACCGCGTACGGCCTGGTGGTAGCTAAAGGCTGGAGGGGGTTGAAGATCGGCGCCGAAATATTGAGAGCCAGGTATCCCTAGTTACAGACTGTACGGTTTATTTATCTCTTATCTATTAGACAAGTCCGTCCGTCTGTCTGTGGTGCTGTTTCAGCGGCCAAACCGTAAGAGATAGATAAAGAGAATATTTAAGTTATAAGTTAAGAATAGTCTGATAAGACTACAAACCGGATTTAGTTACGTAGCACTTCCGGTTTTCGAGAAATCCGGTTTTGGTGAACATTTGGTTCACTGGTTTGCTAATATTGTATAACTATAATGTCCGTATTCAGAAGGATTTGGAAAATAAGAAAACACGTTTAAGTTTCAAGAGCTCTATTGCGACTAAAGTAAAAATATACAAATGTGGCAGGCGTAGCTGCCGACACACATATATATATACTAGCTGACCCAGCGAACTTCGTACCGCCCTAAAAAAATAGGGGTTGTCCAGCGGACAAAATTGTGAATCTAAACCATTCTCAGATCCCCTTGAACACACACAAAAAATTTCATCAAAATCGGTCCAGTCGTTTAAGAGAAGTTCAGTGACATACACACTCACAGAAGAATTATATATATAAAGATACGCAATACAATTTGGTGTAGTATGGCATGATGTAGGGTATAGAATTACGTAGCTCAACAAAATATAATGTGTCCCTACACAGACCCTCTTTCCCAGTGGGCACTTTGGGCAAGGATCAAATACAAAGTCCCTAGTTCCTGTCAGATCACCAAACGATAACCAATATTTATTACCAAAAAACTTATATAATTCGAAGAAATCGAACCTAAATTACTGACTACAATACCAACTTACTAGTTTTTAATTGCGCGAAGCTATTCTACTCTCTCCCAAAACTTAGGCTTTCCGACTTCGGCATGCTTAGATAAATTTAAATATACATATAATGGTATACTTAGCACATACACATTTTAAATAATAATCATCAGTAGTACACTCATCAGTGTGACTCGCTCCATTTCAAGTCATAATCCACATCAAACTCATAGGGGCCCCATTATCACAGCGGTGACACTCTGTGTACGTGAGAGTTCCAGCGTCAGTGACCTTGAGCAGGAGCGTGTATGCGCTAGGGTTGAACTTGGAATTTAGACTTGTGCCAATGAATATTTATGCATAGTAAGTTATTAAATGTAAACTGATTCAAGGATACTGGGGTTTGATTTTATAATCAATTTTTAATCTTTTAATGTAGGTACTATAACAAATTGCTAACTTTTATATATTTTCTCCTTTTTCGATTCGTTTTATAATTCTTATTATTATCTAAATAATAATAAGATTGCGTAGCGTAGTCAGTCTGTGCGTGCAATCCAGTGCAACGCTAGTATTTTACTATTTGGCTACTGCCATGCCTTTGGTCGAGGCAGTCGGCGACTGCCCTCTCCATGCCCCGCGCGCCGCGCAACGCCCCCGCGCACCTCCAGACACCCACACATAGCCGCGGCCGATTTTACGAGCACACATGCTTAAGTGTCGCTTCTTTTCGCGTAGTGTATATATTCTGTTCCATTATCCTAATATGCCCAGGGGCTCCAATGGTACAGATGGCTGATTATGGTGAGAAATAAATTATTAATATTATTATTTCCCTAAACCTAGACAACCGGATAACCGGCGTACCGTTCTAACTTGATTTACTTATGTGAACTACTTCTACCTCACATCACGCAGGCCAAATTGGATGTACGTACAAATTCTTTATGAGTAGGTTTAATATTAAATTTTGTCAATTTTAAACCGATCGGGCTGACACTTTGCATGCAGGTATAAGAAGAATCATAGATGAATATCATTGTGTATAACATAAGCCTAAGAACAAAAACTGTAGTCTATACACCTATACTTCAACTCTACACCGAAGCGAAGCGAGGGCGGGCCACTAGTCTATTATATAATTGTAATAATATTAATCAGCTGTTTTTAACTATATGAACTTTTATATTAAGTAGTCATAATATTAAATATTTTTACAGCCTAATTACTAACTGCAGTAGTTCGTCGGTTTATTTCGTTTATAACTTCAATATCGTTGATTCAGTTTAGGCTACAGAAATACAAAAATGCTCCATCCATATGTTCGCAAATCAGTGGCTTAGGACTTTGTTCTGCGAAAAACGTACCAGATGTTTTTTACTCTCCCTCTTTTCACTTACCACCAATCTATATATATAAAACTCAAAGGTGACTGACTGACATAGTGATCTATCAACGCACAGCCCAAACCACTGGACTATAAGAAGAATCATAGATGAATGTCATTGTGTATAACACAAGCCTGAAAACAAAAACTGTAGTCTACACTTCAGCTTTACATCGAAACGAAGCGAGGGCGGGCCGCTAGTCAACCATACGATGCCCACTGCTGAGCAAAGGTCTCCCCCAAAGATCTCCACGTTGACCAGTGCTAAGCCGTCCACATTCAGCAGACTGAAAAAGTGTCTCTAGATAAATGAATGTAGATATTGTTATTGTAACTCAATAATAATACGACTACTTGATTAAAATACGTCGACCAAAATCCAAGATTTTTAACACAAACATTGTTTGTGACATTTCGTTTGTCGACATCTGGTTTTAAACGTCATGTTGCCGTGACGCACCGCCAATATCGTAATATTAAATCGTGTAACGTTCCACAATCAGCCCCATATAATGTTCCTATAAGCCAGTTATGATTACATTAAAGATGGTATTTGAATTTAAAAATTCCATCTTTTACAAAGTTCTGATGAGATATTATCCTCGTTATATCAAGGCTATATAAGAAATGCCTATAAGAAAGGGACGATTCAATTAAGAATTTCTATAAGCGATCACCGAGATGCCATCCACATCTACAATGGAATTCCTACCCCATTCCAGGGCTAAGAAATAAACGCTCTCGTTTAGATGATTAAATGAGAAATTCTTACAGAGAAACTTCCATTTTTCACTGGGAAAAGAATTATTAAAGGACAATGACGAGAATGGAAAACCCGTTCGATATTGGTGTTGTCGAACTATTAATCGATTTTAAAAAACATGTGTTAAACTTTAATTTATATTTAATGTAATGTAAATAATAATAATTTTATTTATATATAATGTTCGATACTCCTATTCAATGTAATAGGAAAGGTTTGGTTGATGTCAGAGGAATAATATCATTCAAATTCAACTTCATGGACAATAATTTCATTTTATTTAAATCAAGAGCGAAATCCTAGGCGCATGACTTAGCCAACAAAGACAACGAACGATTGAAGAAAATTTGAGTAATACGTCAACGTTATTGACATACTCATTTAGGTTTGTAAATAGACATATAGCAAGTTTTTACGGGTTACTTATAGAATTTTATTAACACAACAAGATGACTAATAAATCAAAGCGTAAAAAAAGAAAATGCATATGCGATACTGTGCATTTACTGCATCAAATTACAGGTGAACCAACAAACTTACCAAAGAAAGAGCTGAATCAAATAAGACTTAGCCTGTTCACTGAGAGAAACTCAGACGGGACGGGCAGACTAATTTTACGCGGAAACGATTTATACGACAGATTTAAACTAAGAATACAGGATAGCGACATCAGATCCATATATCAGTACGTCCGAGAAGCACCCAGAAGAATTACAGTCTTAGATTTACCTTACAACCAAATAACCGACACGGGATTCAGTAAGTTAGTAAAGAAACTGCTGGTAAAGGGTAGATCGAGCATAATAAACTTGAATGTGATGAACAACAACTTGACGGAAAAATCAGCTCTGGTATTAGCCCAGTACCCGACATTTATAAAACTGAAATACTTAAGGTTGAATGGAAACCATTTGGGTACAAAAGGCGGAGAATATTTCGCTAGATTCCTAGAAGATAATACGAGTGTAGAGTATTGCGATATAGGACAGAGCGGCCAAACTTTGACCAGCGTCGCTCAAATCGTGGCAGCGTTGAGGACAGACCACATCAGCCCAAATAGAATGCTGAAAGTTTTGGATTTCAGCAGGATCGATAACATTTTCAATCGCTACAACTACGAATCGAAATGGCTGGCTTATCACATAGAGCTTTTATTAGAAAGAAACAACACTCTCATAGAGTTACATCTGCAGAAAAACGAGTTTATCAGTCATGATATGGAGTACTTTGCGAGGGGACTGAGGAGGAATCATACTGTTTTGTATCTCGATTTAGGTTACAACAGGATCGGCGACTACGGTGCCGAGTTGCTAGCCAAATATTTGGCGGAAAACCCTCAGTTGATTTTTCTGAACATCGCTGGCAACGAAATTAAGGACACGGGCGCAAGAGCTATCAGTTTCGGGATGCCCTACTCAAAATTACGTGCTTTAGATATTTCCAATAATAAAATTACCGATCGAGGTGTTTTAGACCTTCTCAACACCATCAGGAAACCTTATTACCTCCGATTCCTAAACATTTGGGGTAACAAATTTGGACATGTGGCTTGTGGTGTTATAGAAAGAATGTTATATAGCGGTACTTTATTCCAACACACGATTGATGTGAAAATATATGAGGTGGACGAAATTCTGTACGCTGCATACTATCCCAATCCTGCGGATAGGAATAAGCATCTTTATTATTGTGAATTAGATTATGGTTTTGCCCAACCTATTTATGATATAAAACGGAATGTTGTAGAGGAAAAAAAGAAAGTCGCGATGGATTGTAAGCAAAGGCATAAGCTAGATAAGACAGACAGAGATCACTTTTAAAATGCATATTTTTTTACGAGTTTAATTTTTAAGTTTTTGCTTTATTCTTGTAGATGCTTTGTCGCTGGTTTTATGAAATAAAAATTTATTTTCGTACAACAATTGTTTATCATTTTATTTTTATCACTTTTCACTTTAAATTTCTTGTATATTTTTCTCATTTACTTTATGATTTTTCTTTTCAGTTCCCAACTAAGCGAATTTTTTTGAAGGTAAGCAATCAGTTGTTTTGTTTATTAAATGCTTAATAAATGTTCAATTATTTTGTATAATTTTACCCTCCCGCCTCTTTAATGTTCTATCTAATATATTATTATTTTTGTTGGCAAACATTTTTTGCGAGTATTTATGCAAAGTTCACGATGTCGTTTAAATAAATGCATGTCGTTATTGCAAAGTAATTCAGACTATTTTGACTGATGGCACGTCCCGGAAACATTCACAAATATATGAAAACTTTACTGAATTTTCAGAGGTTTATCCAGGATATTTCTTCTAAGTTTACATTGAGTAATTTACTGACGATTTTAAATATATTGCTAGTGGAGCATCAACCGCTAACTTTCAAACGAGCCAATACGCTAATTTTGCGTCGGTTTACATAAGTAATTTACCATCGGCCTGATTCTGGCGCGATTCATTATTACCAGCCTATTAATGTCCCCACTGCTGGAGCACGGGCCTACCCTCTGGATGGAATCAAGGAACAGAAAAACAAGGATTGAAAAGTGAGGGTCATCACCCATAACGCAGGCCCAGTAAGTATTAGTGGGTGTTAACGATTACAGATGCACCCGGGACCAACGGCTTAACATGCCTTTCGAAGCACGGATAGTGCAATTTTTGGTCACCCATCTGGTGACCGCCCATTGCGAAAATTGCTTAATTTCAACGTTTGCAAACCGAACAAGGTACACTTGCGCCATCGAGCTCCTCAAAATTACAAAACAGTTTTTTTATGTTATTTTTCTATTAAAATTTTGACTATTAGTATGACAACTTTATGGCTTATCAAATTTATAATTAATTTATAATCTACTTTGACATGCATGTAACAATAGACAATTTCAAATTATATTCATAAATTGGTATTCCAATGTGAAAATAATAGTACTTCTTTCATAGGTCCATATCTGTATACCTTAATTAAGGTGGAAATGTAGTGATACTAACGAAAATTTTATAAACCTATGTTTCACAAATAAAATTCTGATTCTGATTCTGATTCAGCCAAAAGGTTCGTGGGATGGAGGGGAAGAGCGCTGAAATTAAACATGTAAGGTACTGCCAGATGACAAGGCCCACAGTTTAACCCCTTAAAGGAAAAAAGGGCTCACAATAAAAGCTACGATTATTTCTAAATCCAATTACATGTAAACTACATGCCCCCCCCCCATCCCCTCGATTCCACGAACTTTTGGATCTCCTCCCGTAGGTGGCCAACGGCACATTCAAAGTGCGATCCAAACTTTTAGTTTTTAGTTAAGATAATCATGCCAGAATCAGACCTATTCTATAACTTCCAGGGTGCCTCTCTGCAAGGCGTTTGGCATCAAAGCCACGGTGACAGTATTTACTGCGGCCGCTTCCCAAGCAGTTGCGACCAAGGCAGGCTTTGAAGACCTCCACGAGACCACATATGAAGAGCTCGCCAAGAAAGGCTGCGTCTTCCCTGGCATCGAGAGAGACACCAAATCCTCCAAACTGATGGGATTAGCTATCGATTAAATGACTAATTAATAAAGAGATAAGATGTTTATTCTAGATAATAATATTTATTTCTGAAGGCTCCTATACATGCTGGCCAAGCGAAGGCCAAGGTTTAAACAGCATATTGGTCTTGCCTCACCTCATTTGGCGTCGCTTGTCGGCACTCGCTGTTGCTCGCCAACATTTATCTCACATCATCCATAATATCAACGTATGGACAGCTCCACAAAGCTCGTCTATATTGGGCACCTGCATTTGTCTCGTTCCAGCTTGCCAAACGTAGAAACTCTAGACCAGGGATAGGCAAACTATGGCCCTCGGGCTTTCTCCGGCCCTCGAATGGTTAAAAACCGGCCTGCGACCATCAAACAAAAATCAAAGACTCGCCAAAAAGTTTAGAAAAATCCGACAAGGACCACCCCGCTGCTGAAACTATTACCAATACCAACCCATTTACACCCAGGGGCGTAGTTTATTGCGTGAGTTGCTTCAAGGACAGTCGTTATTGATTGGAGAAGGGAAAGGGGGCATTATGGGGCAACGCCCTACCTTAAAAATACCATCGATATAATAATAATATTATGACTAGACTAATTCTGGGGGGGGGGGGGGGGGGGGGTGCAAATTCTGTTTATGTCCTACATGTTATTACTGCTGCCCTTTCTTTTATAACTCTGGCTACGGCCCTAGATCCTTATCCCACCTTCCTCTATCCTTCCAAAAAAAGAACTCGTCTTTATGGGTAAAACCTCGTTCGTCGCCACTAGGAGTTACAACAAGAATATCGACGACCTCCGTGGCCGAGTGGTTTGTACGCCGGGTTTCATGGTGTCGTCGACTCGAGAGGTCCCGGGTTCGTACTCCAGTCATGGATGTTTAATATGTATTTCTATATAAATATACTTTAATATGTATTTCTGTATAAATATGTACAATATATGTATTCTATCCGTTACCCTAGTATCCCATAACACAAGCCTTTACAGTGCTTACTTTGGGGCTAGGCTAATTGGTGTGAGTGTTGGAAATATTTATTTATTATTATTTTATTTTATTTAATATGTGCGGACTCTCCGCGCTCGTTGATCCGGCGCCAGTCACCCGATTCGCCAGACCAAATACGTACCGTCACTGCGGGCGGGTGTGGTCGCGTTGCGCCGCGTCAGGATCCGGCTTCCCTCATCAGAATGTACCCACCCTTATAGGGAAAATCTCCTCACAAGGGCGGATCCAGGGGGGGGGGGTCATGGGGGTCATGACCCCCCCCTGGGCTGGGTACAGATGGACCAAACCCAGGGGGATTTTATTTAAGTACTTTCAATATACCACGACTATATGACCCCCCACCTGGCGCCAAAGCTGGATCCGCCCTTGTCTCCTCATGCAGAAGACTTCAGCTGAAGCCGCCGCCAATCACCAGATTTGTCATCACCAGAGGTCGGAGTTAGGTTATTTATGTACTTGCATGGAAATGTTGATATTAATATAGATCTTCCCGGGATTATTAATGGATGATCCCGTGTGGCCAACAATATTATAAATAAATAATAAAAACCTAAGTGATAGATAAGACAAACAAATTATTCATACAGTCTTAAATTGTCATATTTATATTTCGCCCTTTTTTATAAAAACGAGCAAATACGTTTGCTTCTAAACTCGTAAGGTTAATATGCTTATTCAAATGGACCATCAGAATAATTTTCCTTGTCCGAATCATTTAAAGTACCACTAAGATTTGAAGTGTTTTCGAGCTCTTTCGTGTTTTTGCAGAAACTGCAGTCGTTAGCACCCACCACTGAGTGTAGAATGGGCCGTGTGTAGTGTGTAGTGAAGTGGGTAAAAGTCCCAGTTCGGAAACTGTCAGTGCATCACCATCACTCACCAAACAAAATTTTAAACCAAGTCCACAACCACCGCCTGGTGGCTTAGTAGAAAGGCACTCCTTAGTGGCTTCTAAACCTCGCTCTAATTAGCTATCCGCCCAACTGCCTTGCTAGTAGCCTGGTTAGATGTCTAGCTAGTTGCCTGGCTAGCTGTCTAGTTAGATGCCTAGCTAGGTGTCTAGCTGGTTGCCTAGCTAGGTGCTAGCTAGTTGCCTGGCTAGCTGTCTAGCTAGTTGCCTAGCTAGTTGCCTGGCTAGCAGTCTAGTTAGTTGCCTGGCTAGCTGTCTAGTTAGTTGCCTGGCTAGCTGTCTAGGTAGTTGCCTAGCTAGTTGCCTGGCTAGCTGTCTAGTTAGATGCCTAGCTAGGTGTCTCGCTAGCTGTCTAGCTAGTTCCCTAAGCTAGCAGTCTAGTTAGTTGCCTAGCTAGGTGTCTAGCTAGTTGCCTGGCTAGCTATCTAGCTTGTTGCCTAGCTAGTTGCCTGGTTAGCTGTCTAGTTAGTTGCCTAGCTAGGTGTCTACCTAGTTGCCTAGCTAGCTGTCTAGCTATGTGTCTAGCTAGCTGTCTAGCTAGTTGCCTAGCTTGGTGTCTAGCTAGTTGCCTAGCTAGCTGTCTAGCTAGTTGCCTAGCTAGGTGTCTAGCTAGTTGCCTAGCTAGGTGTCTAGTTAGTTGCCTAGCTAGGTGTCTACCTAGTTGCCTAGCTAGCTGTCTAGCTATGTGTCTAGCTATGTGTCTAGCTAGCTGCCTAGCTAGGTGTCTAGCTAGTTGCCTGGCTAGGTGTCTAGCTAGTTGCCTAGCTAGCTGTCTAGCTAGTTGCCTAGCTAGGTATCTAGCTAGTTGCCTAGCTAGGTGTCTTGCTAGTTGCCTGGCTAGCTGTCTAGCTAGTTGCCTAGCTAGGTGTCTAGCTAGTTGCCTAGCTAGTTGACCAGCTAGTTGCCTGGCTAGCTGTCTAGCTATAAGCCTGGCTAGCTGTCTAGTTAGTTGCCTAGCTAGCTGTCTAGCTAGTTGCCTAGCTAGCTGTCTAGCTATAAGCCTGGCTAGCTGTCTAGCCAGTTGCCTAGCTAGCTGTCTAGCTATGTGTCTAGCTAGCTGCCTTGCTAGCTGTCTAGCTATAAGCCTGGCTAGCTGTCTAGTTAGTTGCCTAGCTAGCTGTCTAGCTAGTTGCCTGGCTAGCTGTCTAGCTATAAGCCTGGCTAGCTGTCTAGCCAGTTACCTAGCTAGCTGTCTAGCTATGTGTCTAGCTAGCTGCCTTGCTAGCTGTCTAGCTATTTGCCTGGCTAGATGTCTAGCTAGTTGCCTGGCTAGCTGTCTAGTTAGTTGCCTAGCTAGGTGTCTAGCTAGTTGCCTAGCTATCTGTCTAGGTAGCTAGGTCGCTAGTAGTAGCGAACTCGCTTGCTTGTAGCTTACAAGCTCGCCCCGTGCCATCCCCGTGAGTGTGGTGTGGTGTGTTGTGTTGTGTTCTTTTGTCACGCCTATGTGTACTGCTCCTTTTACGTGTCTTTCATCGTTACTCTGACGAGTTGCAGCTCCGGATGATCTTTGATCCACTTGATTACGGTGGCCTCTTTGATAGATCTCTGCGCCATGGTAACACTTTTAAACAAATTACAAAGACTTTATAAAATATTAATCGGAGGTTAAATGGTATGATTAAACCACCATGTTACATTATGAAAATAATAAATCCACATTTAGGAAACAGCTGTATGTAATAGGTACCAATACAAAAATAAGTTTACTTGATTGCAGTGCCACCTATAGGGTAAAGTTTTTTTTATATTTTGCGCTACTTTCATTATACCTTTCTTCGTTAGAATCCACAAATTATTAAAAAACATACTTAGCTGAACTATTTTATGCTTTGGTGTGTCCAAAGTGAATAGAAATTCCAATTCTGTTTTTTTAAAAACTAGTTGATTTCTAAATCAACTTTTACATTCATCTAGCGGCTGATAGTAAAAGTACTTGTTAGTGTAACTTGCTAGTGTAGTCAAAACTTAAAAGCATGTATTCTGCACGTTTTGCTTTCGAGCGTTCTCTAAAAGATGTCGCTACGCACGATGTAATGTAAGATGTTGCTAAAAAAGAACATTAAAATTTTCTATAAAAGCGTAGATATACCCAAGGAAATAATGAGATTCCTCATAAGATTTTCAGAGCTTCAATAAAAACGAGATTGAAATGAATATTTTTTATTGGAAAATAATGTATTAAAAATGGCAACATCGACCCTCGCTCTCTCGCTCTTTTCTAGTCGATGGTTTGCTTGCTTGCGTATTTTCCCAGATAGCTGTCAAACGGTTGTTGACTTTTGATGGGTGTTGCTTGCGTTCTTCAATAGGATTTACGAAAATATATTAGAAAATAAGTACTAAACAAATTATCTTATTGTGTCGTGTTGAGTGAAACAAAGTGTGTTTTATTTCTTATTTTTCACACTACAATTTGTGTTGTTTGTGATAAGTTAACTTGGAGACATGGATACATTAATTTTGTTTTTCGACTCGCGTCCTGTTTAATAAGAGTACAATCGTGTTTTTCATTCTATTTAGCAGGAATTTCATGCGGTTTGAATTGTTTTTCTGCATTTTTTTACTTAGTGTGCCGTGTGTGGTTGTGAAATTGGTTTTGTGTCCAAAAATGGATTTCCTTCGCCTGTGATTCAATAAGGATTTACCTCCTACAAAGAAGGTAAGTTTAAAAATAAAATTCTAAATTAAAATGTAAACAGTCAGATGCGCTTTTGTACAAAATGTTATAACTGTATGTTTGTCTCTTTTGATTACGTTAAATTTTGTAGAATTTGGTTGTTGATCCACAAATTTAATAGTAACTAATAACTGATCATTGTTTAATATAGAAATTATAATTAATCAATACAGTAGGTATGTACAGTATTTTTTTTCTAGTAAAAACTTGTCTTTAGATTTAAATTTTAATTAATTAATTATAATAAAATAAAATACTAATTTATTTATCTAGCAGTTAAATGCTTAAAAAATAATAAGAACATAAGAATACAGTAGGTTTCTTCGATTTATTTTTTACACCATTGATTGCTTCTATTCTATTCTTTTTAATGGCAATTGTGTTGATGCCAATGTCTACAATTCATCCAATATCAGAAGAGATGGCCAAGCGTGTGTTTGGTGGATTTGTTCAGAAACCTGTAATAGAAATCTATAGTTTATCCAATGCTTGAATGATGTCCAAATGCCAGTTACAGATTTAAATAAAATAATATTTTTAATATACCTAACTTATTTAAAATTAAAATTTTGCCAATGTCCCATAGTGAAAGAGACAAGAGAGACATTGATTAGTAATTTAAATAAATTTTATCTCTATATTATCTATTCTTCATTCTGTATGTGTCTTTTCTTACTTAATAACATGACACAGATATTATTTATTTTCAAGCAAAGTTTCCTTAGCAATTTTTGTGCATTCAATATAACGAAATATAAATACAATTGTTAGGCTAATTACAGAAACTTATTAAGTACACATAAATAGAAATAGCATTATTAAAATAAAAATAATGTAACATTTATAATACTGCAGTCTTAAGACATACATTATTCGCAATAGCATAACTATTAAACACATTAAAATAAACTACTGGATATTTAACAACATATAAGTATATATATATTGTGGGTTTACCTATAATGCGAAGAGATGGCGCTGCCTTGCAGCTTAAGAATAGCTAGAAAGAATTTCGACGCGGTCCGTGAGGGCCGCGGTAGCATAATTGGTCAGTGCATTCGCCCGGATTGCGAAGGGTGCGGGTTCGAGTCCCGTCTGCTGCCTGGTCCGTGTGGAATTTTTTCTAGTTATATTTTCTTTAGATTTAAACATATAAGTAATTATTTTTCTTAAAAAAAACTTCAGTATTGGATTAATGAAGTCAAGGAAAGCAATGAATCAACTTAACACAGTAAAAACTTGAATTTGTTTTTCCACAGACCCATTGAAGCATAGCCAGCACCTACAAAAAATTCAATTATGGGAATTGTTTCTATGTAGGATGCTACTGTACTTTACAGCAAACATTTATATATATATATACTAGTGGCCCGCCCCCGCTTCGCTTTGGTGTAGAGCTGTAGTGTAGACTAAAATGACTCTTCATAGCATTATAAAAAAAAACTGAAAATGGTATATTTGCCTTTTCCAAACTTCTATTGATATCACGTCATTCAATTGCCCTTAAGGAACCTTTCCACTACCATTTGAAATTTAAGGTATGGTATTAAAGTTCAAATTGACTTTTAAGTATTATTATGAATCGTTTGTATGGGAGTATAGAAAAGTGCTGTTTTTGGTCTTTTTCAGGCAATTTTTTTGAATTTTTCTCTGTGTAAGAACCATCCTCGTTCTTAAAGGAATATTCTAAAAAAAGAATTATCGAAATCGGTTCAGCTGGTCTCGAGATTTGCGCTTAGCAACACATTCAACGATAAATATTATAGAATACCATATATATAACACACCAATTATGAAACAAATCATAAAAGTTGATTCAAAACTTTCTGAATACATATCGACAGTGAAAAAGCAAAACTGCTTATACATCACTTGGACACTACTTAAAAATTAACTTAGATTCATTTTACATTTAATGTTAATTTTAAGCAGCACCAAAGTGGCGTGTAAGCAATTTTGCTTTTCCTCTGTCAATATAATGTAACTCTTTTTAAAGCTAGAGTGAATGAGGAGCTTGGATAAGCTAGTGAGCTTATCTAATGATGTAGCAAGCTTATCCAAGCACCTTATTCACTCGGATCTATAGTGTAGTGACACTATAGCATCTGCTCTCGGGCCAAAAAGAGGATAAAATGAGTAAGCCCTTGCACGCATTTTATTTATTTACAACATTTATTCAGAGAACAACACTAAAAATAAATTATTGTGTTAATTTTTATTACTCTTCTAACTCTTCCAACTCTTTTCACTTTTTCGTCTCCCTAGCCACCTTATCCAAGTTTTCCTTGCTAACTGAACTAAAGTCTTACTAAAAAAGTCGCCGCGACGCAACTGCCTGTTTGTTCGTGATGATCTTAACAGTACTGAGGCTATTTTGATATGGTTTTCACCATTCAATAAGATAACTTTTCACCAATGATTTATTATGTGTAATACATGCCCCAGAAAAAAAAACTGAGGTCTACTGTAGTAGATGCTCAACTGTCAAACTTCATACTATTTAGACAAATGTTTCTTTTGGGTGCTTAAGTTTGGGTGTGTTAAAACGTGATATAAATTTATAATCACTAGCCTAACCCCAAAGTAAGCACAGAAACGCTTGTATTAAAAATATATAGATAACTAGCTATCCCAGCGAAATTTCGTACTGCCATAAAAAATAGGGGTTGGTAGTAGAAGGGTGAAAATTTAGGGTTGTATGTATTTTTGTATGATGTATCATGAAAAAAAAATAAAAAAAAGTTATGATGGGTAACCCTTAACATTCAGGGGGATGAAAAATAGATGTTGTCAGATTCTCAGACTTATATATTAGATATCATAACATATATAACATCGTGGTGCTCATGCTCTAAGAACATAATTTTATGCTCTGTCGATCCTGCAGAGGCCAAGGGTACCAACCAGTGTTACATTTGTTACTATTTAAGGTCACAGATCTAAGTGCCTTATCACACTGAGGGATTGAGACCGTTTTCCAAGCAGAGCGGGTGCGTAGCGAACATACTGAGGGTCAGAGGGTGCCGAGCGAACATGCTGAATACCTGAGGGTGCGCAGCGAACATGCTGAGGGTCTGAGGGTACGAAGCGAATACGCTGAGGACCTGGGGGTGCGCAGCAAACATGCTGAGGACCTGAGAGTGCGCAGCGAACATGTTGAGGACCGGAGGGTGCGCAGCGAACATGCTGAGAACCTGAGAGTGCGCAGCGAACATGCTGAGGGTCTGAGGGTACGAAGCGAACACGCTGAGGACCTGAGGGTACGAAACGAACACGCTGAGGACCTGAGAGTGCGCAGCAAACATGCTGAGGACCTGAGAGTGCGCAGCGAACATGTTGAGGATCGGAGGGTGCGCAGCGAACATGCTGAGAACCTGAGAGTGCACAGCGAACATGCTGAGGGTCTGAGGGTACGAAGCGAACACGCTGAGGACCTGAGGGTACGAAGCGAACACGCTGAGGACCTGAGAGTGCGCAGCAAACATGCTGAGGGTCTGAGGGTGCGCAGAGACCATGCTGGGGTCTGAGGGTGCGCAGTAACCACGCTGAGAGTCTGAGAGTCCGCAGTATAAAATATAGACATATACGCCAACATTATTATTGCATTTTAAAATGGCGCGAGAAGTCTCCACCCCAACTACCCTTGGCAACAGCAACATAAAGCGCACTAAAGTAGGCTCTTTCACTCTCATGCTTAAAGCGGAGTACATCTCGCTCTTTTCTTTAGCTTCCACGTGTCAACGGTAGTTAAACTGTTGTCCGGAAACCGACTTTGCAGTCAACCAATTTTTTGTTGATTTTGTAGGGCAAAACGCGCTGGAGACCCAGCTTTCAACGTATTCGGTGCGTGGCCGCGGCGTCTTGAAAACGCTCGCAAGCCATCAGTATGACAAGGTCCTAAAAGCAGTAATTAAATAGTACTGAGCACAAATTGAGAGTTATAATTGGTTCACTTTCCAAAGTTTACTAAGCCAAGCCATTTCACGTTTGATTGAGCACAAGAGAAAATCTAGATTTTGAGGTGAACCGACCAACGTTCTAATGGTTTTCTGTTAATTAACACAAATAATTGGCATTGAAAATTAACAACTGAAAGTTGAGGTGATTTATTAGTACCAGGTACCTGTTTGCTTCGAGTTGGCCACCAAAGACCGTTACAGACCGACACAGGCTAATCACTGGCACATCAACTGGTATAGAGTCGACTGTTAGGGTCTGTCTCTTAAGTCATCCTTTTTTTTTATAGATAGGTCCGACAAATGACTCCACCCCACCTGATGTTAAGTGAAGGTGAAGTCCAGACAGAAGATAGTTGATACAGCAGTTGTACCTGCCACACCAGCCATCCTCACCCTGCCGGCCTGCATGTTGCTTCTTCACGCCTCTTTTAAAGGATCCCAGCTTGTAAGAGGGAGGGAACACGTGAGCGGGCAGAGCATTCCATTTACGAATAGCGCACTATCCGCCTTAATTTCAATGCATTTTTTTATAATCGCATCGCTCATCATCTGCAGTACAATATCCTTTAAGTGTAAAATTAAAATCAATACACATTTGACAATGACATTTCGTATAGTTTAGAACTTGTTGTAAACAATGGGCTTGTAGTACAGTCAATCTGTAGGTTGAGTGGTGAAAAAAAAACCTAAAGGGTAAGTCTTGTTTTTTCTGTTGCCAAATGACGTCAGTAAGCCACCTTGGCGATGGGCATGTTCAACTCGTAGGCGTTTTTTGAAAAACTCAAAAAAACCGTCAAAAATTTTTTGAAACGCATTTTTCTTGTTTTGTATGCATTTTAGAAACTTTTTTTTCGACCATAATTGTAGAGGGCGTTGAGTGCTACAATTTATGTCATTGTTGTAATCTCGTACAACAAAAAATGCGCATTGTAGGTGGCGCTAAAGTCTCAAAAAAAGTGTTTTTTCACATTTTCACCCTGAAAATATCATTTTAATGGAAAACTTTAAATGGCTAAGTTGTTTCGTACATAATTACCAACAACTTTTGTATAAACAATTTTTTTGTATTACTTACCGTTTTCAAGTTATAAATTGCGCAGGTATGAAAAATCCAATAGAGCGGTTTTGGGCAGTTCAAGTACACATTTGCAGTGCACATTTCAATGTACGTTTTTACTATTTTTTTTTCAATCATGAAAAAAAATAAAAATAAAACAATTTTTTTTAAATTTTTTTTTGTTTTTCAATCCTGAAAAAAAATAAAAAATAGTAAAACGTACATTGAAATGTGCACTGCAAATGTGTACTTGAACTGCCCAAAACCGCTCTATTGGATTTTTCATACCTGCCTAATTTATAACTTGAAAACGGTAAGTAATACAAAAAAAATGTTTATGCAAAAGTTGTTGGTAATTATGTACGAAACAACTTTGTCATTTAAAGTTTTCCATTAAAATGATATTTTCAGGGTGAAAAAGTGAAAAAACACTTTTTTTGAGACTTTAGCGCCACCTACAATGCACATTTTTTGTTGTACGAGATTGTAACAATGACATAAATTGTAGCACTCAACGCCCTCTACAATTATGGTCGAAAAAAAAAGTTTCTAAAATGCATACAAAACAAGAAAAATGCGTTTCAAAAAATTTTTGACGGTTCTTTTGAGTTTTTCAAAAAACGCCTACGAGTTGAACATGCCCATCGCTAAGGTGGCTTACTGACGTCATTTGACAACAGAAAAAACAAGACTTACCCTTTAGGTTTTTTTTTCACTGAAACGATATTTTTTTCGACAGATTGACTGTACTATTGCAAAAAGGTACCGTTTTTGCGACGCGGCGGATAAAACTCTCAACCATTTCATGACATGACATTTTGATTTTGTAGCATGCTAGTATTGACATATTATTTAAAGTGTTTGCCCAATTTATTGTCATTTTTTATTGTATTGACATTATTGACCTTTTCATTTTTGTAATTTGAATCTTAGAATAATAATAATGAATATAAATAATAATTAATGTGTATGCCGATATTGGCACAACATGTTATGTACTTAGCTAATTTCACTGACTATCTTTCTTACACATGTTGTTACAAATAAAATTTCTTTCTTTCTTTCATGTGTTCATATAATATATTCTCAAATCCTAAACTTACCAAGTACTAAAAAAAATGTTAATTACCGACAGACCATTTCTAGTTAAAAGTGATGACGCTATCCGTTTAAAATTCCCTCCTTAATCTATTCGAGTGCACACTAATTGTCCTCAATTGATTATGCTTCCAGATAAGCCCTTTCATCTACTTTAGGGACATTGCTCAGCGCACGACCGCGACTTCGGCCAATGGTCGCAGCAATCAGTACCCCTAGCACGAACCATTATCGAATTTGAATAGTTTGCAAACCGAAATGTCAATGTCAAATTTTGTATGGAAACTTGAACAGCAGCGGCACAGAGTACGTAACGAGAACTAAAAATCAGTACACATTTGACAATGACATTTCTGACTCGCAAACGATACGAATTCGATATTGGTTCGTGCTAAGGGTACTGTATAACTCGGGAAATATATCTATATCTATACTTATAATAAATCTGTAGAGATGTCAATTCTGTACATGAAATATATGTTTAAAATAACTATCAGGGGGTGATTAGTGATCGATACTGATGCCAAAAATGCAATCAGTAAAATTGTGTAGTAAAAGTCTGTCTGTCTGTCTGTGTGTATGTTCCTTATAGAAACAAAAACTACTCAACGGATTTTATCGAAACTTGGTACAATTATTCTTCATACTCCTGGGCAGGTTATAGTATACTTTTCATCACGCTACAATCAATAGCAGCAGAGTAGTGAAGGGAAATGTTGGGAAAACGGGAGAAGTTACTCCATTTTTTAAGCTTCCGTCGCGGGTGCAGCCTTAATGGTTAAAGTTACAAAGAAATCATGTATGACGCAAATATTCTACATAAAATTATCTAAAAAATATCCCGCAACAGCATATGTCTATCTTTTATGGTTGACTCACAATAACACGTGTAATTATATAAATAAAGTCATTCTTTATAGCACAAGCCTGAGAACAAAAACTATAGTTTACACTACAGCTCTACACCGAAGCGAAGCGAGGGCGGGCCACTAGTTTTATAATAAGTATAGTTTATCAAGCAGCACGCAAACAAGTTTTTTTTTAAAGTTTATGTATAAATTGCTTGTCGCCTTGTCAAAACAGCATCACAGAAAAAAATGCAATAAGTGAAAAAAAAGAAAAAAAAAGCAGCCAAGTACGAATCGGACTCGCCCATGGTGGGTTTGGTTTAGTACGAATGCGAGCTCACGAAAACTATCATAGTTTTCGTGATTGTAAAACTCGTACTAAGGGTTCTGCTTATTTATAAGTCCAACCGTAATTCAATCTTTTTAGTCTGTCAAAGGGTGTACTTACTCATTACTTACTAGTGTCCGGCGACTTCGTCCGCGTTACCTTTAGTTTTTTGAAAACCTCTCAAGAACCTTAACTTTCTTCGAGATAAAAAGTAACCTAAGTCTCAATCCATGTAATGAACTATATGTTTGCCGTATTTCATCCAAATCTGTGGTCATGGTTTTTGCGTGATTGAATAAGAAACAAAAAACTCGCTTTAGCATTTATAATATTAGTTACAATATGTTTGTTTGTGGTTTAAAACAAATGCATAAAGGAGATTGCTCAAATTGGCCTAAATGCACAAAAAATATTGACATACACGGTAATTCTTGGCGTAATTTATAATTTAATTTACAGTCATTAGATTTCAACGGACACCTTTGTATAATATATTTACTTTAAAAAGGACTTTTAATTTTACCGGTTTGGAAAACATACGAATCATTTTTAATGGCTATGGGTGTAGTAACATTCAGCCAAAGACTGATCGAAGTTGTTTATAAAACATAAAAACAATCTATTTTGTAAAGATCGATAAAATAAATATTTTTTTTATTACACTGTGGTATTAATATCCACAACTATATTATCATGTTCACTAGATGCAAATGTGCTCAGACAATTATTATAGATGGAAGGCGACATCATAAAGTCTATTGCCATAGGGTACGGCCAGAGTGCACTCAGATTCAGATTCAGACTTAGAAAACAAGCGCGAGAAATATACAGTTTAAGCAGGTTGCCTGCTGCCACTATGGCCACCCTGCTTAAACTACACTGTTTATTTCTCGCGCTTGTTTTCTGAGTTTGAATCTGAATCTGAGTGCACTCTGGCCGTACCCATACATTTTTCGCCAAACACCTCCATAAACACATTATAATTTGTATATATGATAGACTTTAAGGTATCTATCTATGGGCCTACGTTCCCTGACTATAAATTAATAAATAAATAAAATTATAAGGTGTGATACACTAAAAATCGAAAATATGGTTATCTTAAAAACATAACAAAAATAATGAAGCTACTGAATATATGGCTATAGAACCTAAATCTCTTAGCTTTCTTTGGTTAACGAGAGTTTAAAAATTCTTTCTAATCTGTGGCTCATTCAGGGATGTTAGATGGGCACCTAGAAATCCTTGTGCCGAGCTGGCTGAAAGCTGGTATTCGAGCCGGGAAACTAGTACGCCTGTGCTCCGCTCTGCGGCGCTGCCAATTCTGGGAGCTGTGTGGGAAATCGCATCATCCCAGTAAAAAAAATGTACATTTCAATTTCGTAGACCGTTAATAGAGGGCAGTGATTATCGAACACACGCAAGAAATATACTATATATACTCGATTCTTTCATCAATTGAAGAATATTAATCGTTTATAAGCACGTACAATTGATTGGATTTTTTTTTTACATGAATCTCTAAAATTTGTCGATTATTCTATATTTTCAGTGTATTTTTGTCGGTCAACGGCCAATCTTGGTATTTTTGCGTACAAGGACTGAATAGCCTTGGTACATGGTACGTGACACTAAAAACTAGTATGTATACCAAGAAGTTGGTACGTCTGACATCATTGGGCTCATTCACAATCATCACACAGTTTCTGTCACAGAGTACCTTATTATAACCGGAAATGAACCAGATTTTAAAAGTTACTCTTATGCATTAACTTTAAAAACAGGCAACTATCTGTTAATCTACATGATCTATATACCTGAATCTAATACATAATTTCGGTACTTGGCTTGATTTCCCTAGGTTACTATGTAACTTATTTGTTTTTTATTATTTTATTATGTTCAGTGTATATGGTTTATAGAAGTTCTCAGGGGTGTCCGTCAATAATATTCGTTTCTATAGTAATTTATATATAATTTCGAATCTAGGAAACAATTTTTCATGATTATTGGTCTTTAGGCCAAACGTATGGAAGCTGAGCAATCTCCTTTATTTTTGTTTCTTTTATTTTATGAACCAGGTAAAAACTTCTAAATATCAATTTATTCTAGATGATTGAATCGCATTAACATAATTTGTCCTTATCCCAATAATCTGTACTATGTACTTAATATTATAAAGAGGAAAGATTTGTTTGTTTGTTTGTATTGAATAGGCTCCGAAACCACTGGACCGATTTGAAAAATTCTTCCATGTTTAGAATCCTACATTATCCCTGATGAACATAGGTTATAGAGTGTTTTCAAAAGAGTTAGGGTTCCGTATGAAAATTACGATAGCGGAACCCAGGGTGTGAAAAACATACCGAAAAATATCCTTACATCACTTACGCTGCGAAACAGATTTGGATGAAATTTGCTATACATATAGTTTATTTACATGGAATGACATTAGCATACTCTTCATCCAGGAAAAATCTGAAGTTCCTGTGAGATCCTTATAAATACCTTTAACGCGAGAAGAAGTCGCAGTCGGTAGCTATACAATGGCATTAATTAAATTTTGAAAATGAAAAATAAAAAAGTTGCGCCCAACGTGGGGCTCGAACCCACGACCCTGAGATTAAGAGTCTCATGCTCTACCGACTGAGCTAGCCGGGCTACGATTCTATTGCCGAAATAACGCTTCTGCCCTTAAGCGATTTTCACTAACAAAGAAGCGTCTCCAATCTTTTGTCAATAAAATGAACGCAAAAACGCGACAGACGTTACAGTCGAAAGACAATCTAATCACAAATACAGTAAGGTTCGATTTTGTTGTAAACCTTATATTACAGACATTGATTGTAACTTTTTCTGGCCTATTTGCTGATGTTGGGTGGCTGTTAATTCTTCGATGAACACATAAGACGATTAGTAAAGAATCAAAGAAACACGTAATGGGGAGCTGGCAAACAAAACGGTATAACAATTACGCATCTGGTCAGTAGTTTGACCAGGAGGCATACTCTATTTCAACGAAAAACTAAATTTCGTGCGTTTCCTAGGTTTCTTTTCATTTCGAAAATTCGTTCGTCCGAAAATAGTTTGATAATTTAGTTCTCCAAGCCTACTCTAATTCACGAAACTTTCAAAGTAAAAGTTGAATTTGACATTTATAATTGTTCGAAATTTTAACTTCAACTGACTTTTTTTTAAATTAAGCCTAAAATGACTGATACAGTATTTTTAATCAAGGCTGCTTAGCGTGAGGAACATTTTTTAGCATGTCAAATTAACAAAAAATACACCAAATTTTAGTTAATTATTATATTTCCAATACTTAAACGACAAATTTAGGTTGACATACAATGAAGTGCCTACAAATTAGTCGGCTAACACTGTCAAAGAAGGTTCTTATAATGTCATCAAAATTTTTGTAGTAAAGTAATATTGTTTCCAAGTAAAACAGGTAATCTAAAAAGTGGAGATAAAAGAACTCACAAACATGACTCATTCCATTCGTTCACGAAATTGGTCTGTGATTCCGAACTTTATGTGCGTGTTCGAAAATGAAATAGAGTAGAGCCATTGGCGAAGTTTCGTTTGCGAATTTCGTTGGCGAAATGCTCGTATTCATCACACAAACATCTGCCCCCACCGGGATTCGAACCCGAGACCTCTCGTGTCGGCGACACCATGAAAGCCGGCGTACAATCGGCCACGGAGATCGTCGAACTATTCCGGAGTTGTCAAAGTAGCGTCTAACATGTCATTTCCCGATCTCACGTTTTCATACTACTTTCAGTTGTTTAGGATGCGTGCACACGCGCCACTTTCAACGCGAGCGGCTGGGCCGTTTGGCTGGCGTTCGCACGTGAAGATACTCACAAATATTTAAGGGAAACTATTGAGATCTATACCACGGTAATATTATCTATACAGTATTGTGACTCCGCCCTGTCCTTGAAAATAAATGCCTACACCGAGCGCTGTGTTTGCACGCGGTAGGGCCGCCAGCCTACAGTAGTTTATGTAGTTTTGTTTTTAACGCGAGTGTAGGTAGATTACTCGTTTGTCTCTTTTTTCATCCTAACCACTTAATAATAAGGTCACAATAATAAGGTCACACTGGCCTCACAGTTATTAACAGATTCCCAGTTGTATCCAAGATGGATGGTAAACAATACTTAAACCGCATTTGCGGCACAAAATAAATAGTACAAGAAGGTAATCTACATACAAAGTGCGCTCGAGCAACGCTCACATAGACACCGCTCACGAACACAATATCTCGGTACGGTTGGGACCACTGCGGGCGCGAGTTCCATTCGCTTGAGAGCTTCTTGAGAGTTGATTCACGCGTCTGTGAACATTTTGTGCAAAAATTGAGCAACAAGAATAAATGTCATTATGTCTGTTTCGTTTTCTGTTGTGAATTCTCGCTTTCTTTTTAATATAACAGTCAATAACATTATGATTAAAGTGTTTTAGTTATTATTGATTTCTATATATGTGGGGGTAGATGTTTGTGTGATGAATACGTGCATTTGTACTCCAGTCATGGATGTCTAATATGAATATACTTATATATGTAACAGTATATGTATTCTATTCGTTACCCTAGTATCCCGTGACACAAACATACAGTGCTTACTTTAGGGCTAGGGTAATTATTATTTATATTCGCATTATTCGCGTACCATTCTCAATAATTAATCAAACAACTAGTTATGAGTGCCGTTAACACGATAGTTTTTGTGCATACTTAAGTCAAATTTGACAATCCTAGCGCGACCGCCGACCGTAGGTATGCGAAGTACCACGCGGAAGAATCCCTAAACGGGGATCCCGCGGTTTCGCATTTGACTAAGCTAAGAGGGTATTCGCAGGGTTTTTTTAGCGGATATTATGCTGTAAAGCGCCCGTAACAGTTACGGGGTCCTCAGTGGGCAGCCACTGCGGGGGCCCGTAAAGCTTACATGAGCCAGGTGTGAGGTCCGTTCGGCGGTGTGCCTCTTAAAAGGCGCCGTCGTCTGTTAATAGTGGTATTGCCAGCGTCACAAAAAAAAGGGATGAGAATGAAGTTCATACATCAGATTACCTTCTGCACTATCTATTTTGCGTTTGTGGTTAGTTGGTAACTTTGTTCAACTGTGCCACTTTACTCGGTTATCATACTATTTCATAAGCAGTTTTGGTTTCATCATCATCTTACATCTTGTTCTCTCCCTCTTACAACCTGGAAATCCTTTAAAAGAGGCGTGAAGAAGCAACATGCAGACCGGCAAGGTGAGGATGGCTGGTGTGGCAGGTAGAACTGCTGTATCAGCTATCTTCGCGTCTGGATTTCACCGTCACTTAACATCAGGTGGGGTGGAGTCATTTGTCAGACCTATCTAAAAAAAAACCGGCCAAGTGCGCTTCGGACTCGCGCACCGAGGGTTCCGTACAAATCTGTAGGTAGCTGTATATTTTAATTATTATTAAAAAATATTTTTTATTATATGATGTAACTAAAAATCTACGGTTTTCGCATTTTTTCCTTTATCTGTACTATAAGACGTTACTTCGTACCAAATTTCATGATTCTAAGTTCACGGTACGTACCCTGTAGGTTTTGATTCCCGCGCGAGTTTCGAAATTTTAAATTCAAAAAATATTTTTTATTATATGTTGTAACAAAAAATTTGCGGTTTTCGCATTTTTTCCTTTATCTGTACTTAGCACGGAAGAGCTCGAGATAGTAAATCTTTGGTCACCCATTCAATGACCGATCACTGCGAAAGTTGCCTAAATTCATCGATCGTCACCGAACACGCTAACCACTTGCGTCATCAAGACTATCAAAGCCGTCAATCCTCTATAATGTTTCTACTATCAGTTAAATAAATTTTCATGGAAGGTTTATCTTTATATATATAATTCTTCTGTGATGTATCTGTATGTCACTGAACTTCTCTTAAACGACTGGACCGATTTTGATGAAATTTTTTGTGTGTGTTCAAGGGGATCTGAGAATGGTTTAGATTCACAATTTTGTCCGCTGGACAACCCCTATTTTTTTAGGGCGGTACGAAGTTCGCTGGGTCAGCTAGTCTATACATATAATAAAAAGTCAAAACTATACATTGAATATTTTTAACTTCAACGATCGCAGAGCCGAACGCGCTAACCACTTTCGCCATCGATCTCCACTTAACATTGTTTACTTAAAGCTATTATCATTAAGGTTTTATAGCTTCATAAACATGACTAATGTTTGCATGTGTGACTATTAAATGAGCCAGAAATTAGTTCAATTTTTAGTTATGACAGTCATGACGACGTCATTGTGACTGACTACTCACGCGGCTGACCTTAAGCCGCGCCCAAACAGCCTTACCCTGCAAGAAGGGTTAACCTGGCATGCACATAATGAGGTCGTGTTGAAATTTAACTTGACTTTTCCGTGACTAAAAAAACGGATTTAATTTTATTTATTGGGGGAGAAAATAAGGAAGGGGTCGAATCGTTCCTTGTAACTCTTATTACTTACGCGTGATGCATACAATTTTTTTAACTAAGCCGCGATCAGATTGCGTACCAGACAGCAGACGGGACTCGAACCCGCACCCTTCGCTATCCAGG